ACAACACCTCTCCTACCCCCCCCCCCTTCCTTCTCTCTCCCCACACAGTTTTTACTTTCCTTTCGTGTTCTTCTTCTGTAAGCGAAAGTAATCAGTGGACTTATAAATAGACATTCCATGGATTTCCATGAAATGTATTATATATATAAAAAAAAAGGATTTTTTTTGGTGAACATGACGTGAACTATAAAAAGAGCCTTTGGGAAAGATGTTTTGTGTGCTTTTACATTCAATCTTCATACTATGGGAAACATTTTCAAGGAAAGAAGAAGTTACGAACAAACATGCTTTCCGCCTGACTGGTCAACATGTTCTTTTACGTTTAAGAATGGGATTTCAATATTTTAATCAGAGAGAGACGACGACATTGGTTTGTTCATTTTGATACCTTTGTTGTCCTTTTAGACACCTGTTATACAGGTAATAGAGAGGGGAAGGTGAAGACAGAAGGTAATAGAAATATAAAGAGAAATGAAGAGAGAGAGAGAGAGAGAGAGAGAGAGAAAGAGAAGAGCTTAATTTACATTTTTCTTTCATCTCATTAATTATCCTTCTGACTGTCCACTTGCTGTCTTACATAGGGCATGTGATGAGACAGATTTAAAGAGAAAGAATTCTTTTCAGCATTCCTTTTACAAAAAATAAAATATGATGATGATAACAGTTGTTATTTGTTCATCATTAGTATCATGTTATAGAATAATATCTTCAGGAAGGACTTGTTCTGCTTTGATTGGCGTGGCCAGCAGCCAAGTCTGCCAACTCGTCATCATACTTGTTCAAATCAAACATGAGCAATTGGGGGTAACCATATATAATCATTAAAGATAATACTAATTATTAAAATATATTATATTATATAGGTAAGGCTATATCTATCTGACCTTAGTTCTATAAGCCATTGTGGCATGTATGACTCACAACTTGATGTCATACACAGTCCTTCTCCTCTCTTCTTCACTACTCTCTCCTATTCTCTCCACCTTTTTGTCTACTCTCCCCGCTACTTCAAAAAAGATTCTTTAATGACACCAAATACCATAAATGAATTTTTAGATAGAGAACTTGAGATAAAGAATTCGGTACAAGAATTGTTCACAAAAAAGGTTTTCGACCAATTCATTACTTACGTGGCAACCTAATCTTTGGTTAGATTTACAAACATGATATACCATTTTAAATAAACAAAAGTAATAGGCTCCCTTATATAGTCATTCAACTACATAAGACGACTCAAACCAGAATGCTTTACACAAATGTATTTTCACTCTTTTTTTTCAACTTTTACTCATTTTTTTGGAGAACAACATAAGAAAAAGGATTGTCAATCAATTCAGATGTGGTAAGGAAGAGTAGATAAGCATGATGAGATGAAGCTTGGAACTTACTTATCGTTTGGGGTAAACTGACTGGAGCAGCTTGAAGTACTGCCGGTAATACGACAGCTAGTTGCAATAAGAGTATAGAAGTCCACATAAGGGACGAGCACGACGGTGTGCCTGCTCTAACTTGTTCAAGTTATGAATAGTTCAACAAGAGTGGAGTATATAATTAATTCTAAATTGTTATTTGACCCTAAGATGTTGAAATAGACCGGCAACGACCGGCCAAAGACAAGAAGCTGAAAATGGTCTGTAAATGATGAGAATACGACGACAGACAGCAGAAGAATTTCAGAAAAAAAGTAAGAAAAATAGAAAGATAATCGGTTCTTGATTCATTCGAGATTTGAATTCAAAAAAAAACATTGAAAGCTGAGAAAGTTGGACAGGAACAGAGAGCGCAACGAGACTGACAACGATAGGGAAAAGCTGAACTCGAACTGAAATAGACTTGAAGCTCGATATAGATGGAAGACAAACAGAGAAAGAAAGAGATCGAGGATTGAATTGTATGATTATGAAACATTTTAATGATGAGGAACGAATTCATTCGTGAATAGTTGAATGCAGGAAAACATGAACACAGCAATGAGGTGATGACGATGAAGTAGAAGTGAAAAAAAAGATGTTGAGGAGAGACAACGGAACCTCCTATTTCGGCATCAACACATCGAACTGTCAATTGATACAGTTGGATGGTCGAGGCAGAACAGGGAAGACGTTGGGTGGGAGGGCGGACCACACGGCGAAATAAGTCTCCGCCTTCTGACAATGACGCTAGAAAGCCAAGGCAATATGGGGAGGACGGTGATGATATTAAGTTATTTCAAGTTTTATTTAATTGTTCTAAATTAAGAAGGTTTGCTTAGTCATGTTTAGATAGTAAGATATGATAGAATCTATGTCACAAGTATTAGTATGCTAATGGATGGGAAAATCAGAATCACGCTTATGCTAATGTCTTTTTCGGAACGTGATCCGTCACATGGAGTTGTTTTTTCACGTGAAGCACGTGTGAAGCTTCAAATTTTTTTATTTCTTTTCCGTGCTTACGTTAAGATCGGTTGTCGACACCTTCTCTCTCTCTCTTTCTTCCTCTTTCTCTCTCTCTCTCTCTCTCTCGCTCTCTTATTCTTTATCTCAAATCATCTCTCTCTCTCTATTTTTCTTTCTATCTCTTCTCAGAACGTTTATACTCTCTTTTATTGTTTTCATTATTCTTGCCTCTAGTCATTCTCACTTCATTCATTGATGACCAACCGGATTTCTTATATACATAAGCTTTTTGAAAAATTTTAATGTTGCAATTTAAGCTTGGACATCAGGTGGTGATAAAAAAGCCGCTTCTCTCCGACTAAGAAGCTAAAGCTGTAAACGTTAAAGAGTTTATGGAATGCGGTAGTGGTTTCTATAGCGTCTCCTCATATGTTTGTCTTGTTGTGTTTCATGTCATACTCTCTCTCTCTCTCTCTCTCGACTCGTCTCTCTCTCTCTCTTTCACTCTTCCTTATCAACTATTATTCTAAGAATGTATTTTAACAAAAACATTTCTGATTGGTGAGGTAACCGGGAAGAGATTGAGAGAGAGAGAGGGAAGGAGATGAGAATGAAGGGCGGAGGTCAGATATTTTAATGAAATATTTAAAATTATAATCAAATATAATATTTGAAATGGAAAAAGTTTTTTTGTTCTACCAAAAAAGGAAATTAAACGAGTTTTCGTCAAATTTCAAAATTGAATGTTTCCAAAAGAAGGTTTTTTGGTTGACAAGCAATTTGGAAGGAATGAGACAGCGTGACGAAGAGCTTTTTTTCAACTTGTAATAAAATAATTGTGAAGCATATGACATTGACATGTTATCTGAAGATCTTCTCTATTAGTGCGTCTAATAGCTGATAGTTATCAGTCAGATGTCTTTTCTCACATAAAGAGAATGTTCCTTAAATAGTTTTGTAGAAAATGGTTGAAAATGAAAAAGTAACATTTGACACAAATTGACGGAGCGCTTCTCTTTCAGGTGGACGACAACGAACAAGATGAAGAAGGAGAATGCGTAGAAGAAGAAGAATCCAATGTCATTGGCAGCAATAGAGAAAGGAGAATAACAGCCAAACATCATTTCGGTGAAAGTTATACTTGAAGCTCTATAGATAACATATGCATGTTATGTTTCTATAATTGTTCAATTAGCTGTATGCTGATGTGTGAAGATGGAAACCCGTTTGCCGTATTTGAAAAGAGTTATGAAGACTACGAGAGAAAGAGAGAGAGAACGTTCAACCTCTTCTACAACTTACAAAGATATAGTTTTATATTTTCAGTTTGTCTTCTTGTCTACTATTCTACCTCTTTCAACTCTCCCATTCTGTATGAACTCTGACTTCACATCTTATCAATGTCTATTTTGATTTCTGAAACTTCGGCTATAACGGAAGAGTCATTGAGAAGCATCTGATATTACAAAAATGTGATGAAAGCTTTAATGAGTTGCATGACCTTCAGTAAACTTCTCTATACCATGATGAGAAGCCGAATGACCGAAACAAAAACATACATGTGCACATGAACTACGGTAAAATGGCAGTGATGATGGTAATGGTGAGTTGGTTGTGGGAGTAGTGGGGGTGAGAGGAGGATTGTAAAGTCATTTGAATACCTGTTGTTCAATCAAATGAAGTGTCTATCTTTGTAAAAAAGAAATAAAGAAAGATATTGCAACAGTTAATGAGAACAACAAAAAGCCGAATGAATAATAGAAAAGATATAAAAAACATATTTTTTTTTTGAAAATGATATCATAGAGTGCCATTGAAGATGATATTGTAAAACGTTCGCGCTTCAACTGCAATCTGAAGATCGCACCCTAACGCATACAACGATGAACTGTTGAAAAGACAATGATCTGGTTGGCGGTGCCCTTCATTAAAAGACTTTTCCATCTATTTTTTTCGTCATTTTCATGTTTTTTTCCGTTTTTTCCATCTGCTTTTTGTACATGTCTCACCAATTTCTTTATCACGTAGAAGGCCACTGGCTTGTTCAATGCTGGTTTGCCTATCAACAGAACGAACTTTTTCTCCTTTTTTTTCACTTTCAACCATTCTTACACACACAAAAAATGTTGAACCTTTTCAACCCCCCTACCACCCTTCCTACTCAACTCTTTACCAATCATTTACTACAACACATCACAACCTCTTCAGATCATACAGATGTCCACGTTCTTCAAATATCAATTTGTTCTAATTAGCCATCGTTTGGAGATCTTCTGCAAAAATCTTTTTAAATGCTCAAGGTTCCGATAGAGGGGGGTGGGGGGTTCCATGAATGTGAACGACCGAACACGAATGAACACATTAATCGCTCTTACCATCTTTCTCTCTCTCTCTCTCATGCCAAGCTAATAAGATTGAAATTCACCGAAAGTACTTATCGTCATAGAGGTTGTTCTATCTGCATTCTCATATCCGATACGAGAAGAATGAACTTGTACAAAACGTATGATTCCTGAGATAGAGTCATAGTCAGAAGGACCTTCTTAGGAAGAGGAATGAATATGGAAAAGTTAGTGGCATTAGATGGTTTCATCAAAACAACACACACATAGATACAAGTAGATGAATATTGCAAACGAGATTTTATGTGTCAAGGCCCACAAAGAAACTGACAACGAAGGCAAGACGAAACTTTTTAATTTGTTAGCCAACAAACTCATTAAAATATTTCAGGTAAAAATATTTTTTGGAATGGAGACATCGAAGTAGAAAAAGTCTCGAAACCTTCTTCAGCTAATGACAAGAAATGCATTGAGGTCAGTTTCATTTTACCCTGAAAATCTGAAAAAACTGTTTCAGAGATACAGATGTCTTACATTCAACTCAATTTCAACTCTTACAGATAGTACTAGCGTTTGAAATGCAATCAAGAACGCCATTTGGATCAATATGAAGTTGAACGAGATGCACCGCATTGGAGATTTTTCAAATGAAAAAATGAATTCTCATTTTATGATACATGCATTCTTCCTTTTTCACGTGTTTGTTCCTTCAACCGGTTGTTCACGTGATTCCATTTTTCATGTTACTTACCCGGCACAACGGTTGTGTATGCTCGGCTCTCGATCTCTGTAGGAACTATTATAAACGACCCCGCCTCAACCCCTCTTCACCGATTCCATAAGTCTCCACCATTACGCGAGATTTTTTATTAATATTCCAGCGTGATGAGCTTCCTCCATTGTTTTACAATAAACACTCCCTCTCTTTTACGCTACTATGTATCTGCTTTCTCCAATTTCATCTCGTTTTATATAGGATACCGTATAGAGCACATGGAGCTATGCAGGTTTCAGTTATCGAGTAACCCTGCTCCATTGCTAATTTTTTTTTCGTATTTCTTCTTCCTTCAATATCATAGTTAATTAGGATATTCTACATTACATCATTTAATTACTCGTATGTTGGTCTAATTGTTTTCTCTTTTCTTCACTCGATCTGTGTTTATTGTTTATTTGATGTCGACCGATATAGCTTTGTAATGAGAAGTTAGATTTGCGCGTTCCAATCTCCCGTTTGCTTATAATTTTCTTTACTGCGACGGAGTACTCCTTCTAGAGATGATAAGACTAAAGACAACTCTCCCACAAACCTGAGATTTGCAGTAGAATGAGTTATCCTGTACTCTTAACCATGCATCCGAATTAGTATTTTCTTCTTAATTTTTTTTCTGTTATGTATCCGAGTCTACGATTCTCTTTTTGATACTCTCGATTCCAGGAGCTCTAGGCTCCTAGAGTATGATGAGAAGGGTATGTGGTCTCTGAGCACACAGGTAATCCTTCCAGAAATATTTCGGAAAATTTTATTTTTTTGTAACATCTCTGGCTGGCGCCAGTACTCCCCGCCTCCCTTATCTGACAGTGGAGAGCACTGTAAGTCGTGCATGCATGGTAGTTCATCGCAGAAACTCCCAGGTGTTTCACACATACGTGGAAAGATATGTGCCATTTTGGTTTTCCCAAATCAAGAAAGTCTCTCTATTCAAGATTTTTTTTAACATTATGAGTTAGATTTTCAAGATCACAAACAATCTAGCAAGTAAGATATAGTTGACCCAAGGACAATTGATCTCATTCACCTGTGCTCTAATCATAATTGATATACGTGATCTCCCGTAGGTTACAGTAATTGCACACAGCTTTTCAGTCACGCCCACATGTTTTCGAAATTAATTTGATTATGCTAATTTTTATTTGTTTTATTTATTTCTTTGTTGAATTAATTTATAGGTACGACGATGACGAACTTGATTTTTCCTTAAAACGATATTAGTTGATGTGACGACGATTGTGGATTCCCCGACAGGTGGGACGTCAATGGATGTTCCTAGTGAGCAAAACATTTGATAGGAGTCTCGACAAAAAAAATAAAATGAAGTAAATCCAAGAAGTTGTATGTTGGAGGTATGTCTTTTCATTTTCTATACTTCTTCGCTTATGGTACTTCCAGCGATTAATTTCCCAAATTCTTCGGTTGTTCAGAATAAGCAGAAAGCAAGGACGTGTTGCCACATCCCATAATAGATTTTGAGTGAATCGTATTATCACGACATTGACTATGGATTCCTCGACTGGTGGGACGGAAATGGATGTCCCGTAATGAAGAAAACGTTTGGTAGGAAACTCATTCAGGTTGTCGTAGATTGTATATTGCTGCTTAAGGTCTGGCAATTCGTCTCCAATTGATATTCTGTGTTTCTGAAAGACTCCCATCTCGGATAGAATCGAATCTCTCGCACTCTCACAGGTTGTACGCACGTGCCGATCCAAACGAGGTGTAAGTTTCTTTATCTTGATTTTGCCATACTCATTTTACTTCCAGATTTCTTCCCAGATGATAAGAGCTGGGGAAAGCAGGAACTAGCTAGCAGTAGTGGTCAGTTGAATGTTGGTTCCTTGTACAGGAGGTCAGTTGCTTCTTTTCCAGACTGTCATTTGTACCTTTTGTCAGGAACTTCAGTTTCGCCGGAACATAAAGACTTCAGCACAGACTGGTATCGCGATGATGCAGTGGTATAGACGCTCTCGAAATGCTCAAGGTAGTTCATAATTTATTCTTTTTCTTTAGACTGTCCACTCTGTATCCCTCAATTGATCTCTGTGGTGGAGAAAATGGCTTCGAATCCTGAAACTCGGACGGCATTATCTCACTCGAAGACCCAGTCGGAGCCGGAACCTAGTGCTTGCATGTGAATAAATATTTTTTGTGTGTTGGGGGTGGGGGAAGGGTAAATCTGTTGCTCCGGATTGGTCAGAAACTTCGGTTTCTTTGACCAAAAAGATGGAGCTCAATTAAATTTAAAGGTTTTTTTTGACAAAATTTTCTGGTTTTGTTCTGAGGCCACCTAGTTGCAACCCATTATCCAACTCCGAAATTTTCAAATCGTGTCGAGACCAATTTGCAAAAAATTCAAATTTTTTAAAAAAAATGCTGGATTTTTTGACTTATTCAAAGCTTTTCCTTGTTTATTTCTACTTTTTTCAATGATATTAGCTATGAATTAGATTGCAAAATTTTTCTTCATCAGAGGAACCCAAGCTTGATGAGGTTTTGCTGTCACAAATCCAAGTTTGGGCTCCCAAATCAAACAGTTCGA